GTTTGTATGCAATTTTGCAAATGTTTTACAGTTGAGTCAGTTGACAGTGTATAAAAAAAATTAAAAATATTGTTTCGTAGCTATTTTTTGGTCTAGTGATATTCGTATCATATGTAAATTGCTGTATAGACTCGCAAGTGATTTGGCACTCAAAACGAAGTTTATAGCTCTGTGGTCTGCATATCTTATAAAATGTTTATCCGTTGACGGTTTTATTTGTTTTTAAAAACTGAAAATTCGCGTCACGTTGTCGAATCGCGTTCGGTCTGTATGGGCCTTAACCCGATGAAATAGTCTTTTTAATATTTGTTCTGTAGGGAGAGAGACTGCGTAGCATGGACAGTTTCTTTGATTGTGTGGCGACGTTAATGTCCAATAACTTGAGGTGCTTAGTAGAACGCTCCCTGGATGATCTTGTGTCAATTTTTGATGTTTATAAAACTGGAAATAAATTTGATGGAGATTATGAAAGAGGTCTTCCTGTTATGCCTCAACCAATTATTATTAATGTGGTAAGTGTAGTAAATATTAAATCTGATTCCTCGTCTTCCCACTGGTTTTGTCCTGCAGAGTGTATGTGCGTAAATAGTCATGGCAAATGTCAATTTCCCTGTAAATATGAGCTTTTGTGCCAGTAAATTTCATTATTTGCAGTCGATTTTGCAAAACGTTTGTCAAAAATGTTCCAAACTTCGTTCTAGAGATCGCAAAGTCCGTTTCGAAGTTCACAAGTTCAACAGTGAAATTCACAGGCCGGTTTGTAAACAAGACCTCCGATCTGATTGGTCCATGAATTGAAAGAAGTCTATCAAATGCTTCGTTTACAAACCAGTTTGTGAACTGATGAACTTGGAAACTTAATTAAACTTTGCAACTTTGGATTAGTTTCTCGTCTTAGCATACAATCTTCTCATACAGGGAATAACCATCATAGATATTTTAGAAAAGTGCAGTCTGGTGGTGGAAGTTCGGAGGGCATCGATTCGTGTCCCCGTCTTATACGATCCTTCCATTAAGGCTCGTTAATAGATTTGTTTTTATTTCTAGATCCCAGATTTTGAGAATGTTACACTGAGCTTCAGTCCGACGTTCTTGGTTATAAAGAGGTCTATGGACAACATTATTGACACCATGGTATCGAGCGTTTATGGACTTCAGCGTGTTGAATCTTGTCTTTTTTACGAAGTCGAGGGTGTTCCTGTTAAAACAATTGACTCTATGTTGTTATCCGATGATTGCGTTCAAATGGTGAAGAGTAAAGTAGCCCGAGTTATTGATGCTAACTGTACAGGACCTTTGAGGTGAGTTGTCCCTCCGGTGTATCTAATTAAGGACGAACAATGGCAGGTGAAAACGTTGCCGATGCATGTTGACGCGAAAGTTTCATATCTGTCAAACGCACGCATACAGGTGTTACGAGGCTTTATTTAGGTAGTGTAGTGAATTGTTACAGTGTTTCTAATTATTGTTACTAAATGTTAATATTGAAATAGTTCTGCTTCAAAGTACTCTTCTCGATAGTCCACTGAGAGTCCACTAGTGAGTCTACGTTCACTCACTTCACTTCACTGAGAATCCACTGGGAAATCATCCACTGAGAAATCATCCACTGAGGGTCCACTGAGAGATTATCCACTGAGAATCCACTCGAGGGTCCACTGAGAATCCACTGACGAATTTCGGTTGTGCACACCCTTTTATACTAACGGTTGAGGGGATCTTTGTACACGCGTGATCTAGCAAGTGGTGTGATTTGTATCTAGCCAATCAACGTTGAGGTTTAAAAGTGTGGGTTGGTGTTGGTAGCTCGTTCCAGCCCTCAAATTCTGTTTATTTAAGGCGTTGTCGCACTTGTCGAGTTGGTTCGCTGTTCAATCGATCAATATTAAAATATGTCCACAACTTAAAATACTTATAAAAATATCATAGTAAAAACTTCAAACTATACCTATGTGAACCTTACTTTACCTACTAAACTAAATTTACTTACAATTTTATTGAACCAAGATTTTGATGACGTAATGTTATCATTACTCAACCGCGCGAAATATACCGAAGAATGATTGACAGAAAGGCCCTAAGCATGCAGCGAAGAACCAGCCTTGGACTTGAATTATGTAAACACAACAGCCCACCATGCAAGGTTATCGTCCAACTTTGACAGTTTGACAAATTATTTATCTTGCCTAATGGACAGATAATTGACACTTTTACACAAGTACGAAATGATATATACTTTATCTGCGTTTTACAGCAAAAATGCTCATTTTCTCTCCATTTGACGTAACTAATATCTATAATTTCCTGGGGTGCAAACTGAACTATTTTTATACTATTTAGATATACTTTCGTAACACAGGATTCAATCTGACAAACCAAACGCTTTTAACAAACCATTACTATGCTCGTTTACAGTTGTTAGGGAAGTCAGATCTTTACCTCTGTTGTGCTCCATGTGAGAATTCGGACAATGATTTTTATCTGGGACTGTTCATCCTTACTGTTGACATACATGCATCGTTATCTTTTGACGTCACGCAAAGCAGATCTTGCAAGAATAACCAAGAATCTTCTGTTTAAAACATAGAATATATACAGTTTGGCGTCACTTTCTCGACTCCTTAGTTGAGACTAGTCTGCATGGTTTCAGATTCTATTTTCTTTGCTTTGTTCTCACTCACAAAGTCACATGAAACCACGTTCCCAGGCCACTGAATGCGGATTATTTAAATATGCCCCACACATGGAATGTCAAATTTTTGTTAATATATTTTCAAACTTTAACACCAAATACACGACGTTCGATGGCAACTGGAAGTCAGTGAAAGTATTTTAGAGAATACGTGGAAAAAGAAAGATTTTTCTTCATAGTACAAGTTGGGATTTTATTATTACACTATTAACTTCGTCCACTATATTATTTTTCATTTCATCTTGTGCTTTTGTATGTCCACAATAAATTGATGGACTGTTATATTTAGCTTTTTTAATGCTGTGTAAATGTTAATTTTAGTTTCCGCTCCGTTTATTCGCCGTTTGAATATTTTCTTTCGTTGAGTTCGGATGACCATATTAAGCTGTTTCTCATGGAAGACAAAAATTTACCAGAATATAAACAGAAACTGGACGAACTTTACGCTCTTATCTCAGCAGTGGTAAAAATGGACTTACACATTCCTATGGAATTATTCTCACTTGATTGCACTACAGTTAACCAGGTGCGTTAATACTGAATATTGCATTTACTGTATGTTATTGACCGACCCGTATAGGCGAGATCGATATACAAACGAAAGAAGCAAATATTCTTCGAAAAATAATGTTTAGCATGTACCAGAGCTACTTGTGCAATTCTATGTAGCGGTAAAATGGACAAATATTTCTATTATGGGGAAAATTGGCAGAAATGCAAACGCACGCAACTAGCTTCCGTTGCTAAAAATACCTACGTTGGATCATTATCTGAGAAATCATGCATTGCAAAATGTAGAACAGGCTAGGGAACTCACTTCCAGGCCATGCTTGGTATACAGATTAACTAAATATATAATTTTAAAAGAAATCTGCATATTTAAACGTGGTTGATAAATTCGGAATATTTTGCAAACGTGATAGAACCTGGTTTGGATCAGTTCATGCCAATTTCTTACTTTATTTAAGGATAAACTGCGGGATATGTCATTTTACAAAGCAGTTGTCACCGATATGTCGCGACCATATTTACACATGTTTTAAATTGGGAATATTTTGCAAACGTAACAGAACTTGGTTTGGATCAGTCCATGCCCATTTCTTATATCAACCAAAACAGCCGTTTTAGCAGACAAATAACCACGGTGACCTACCTTTTTTATTGCAGAAAATACGTTGTTATGAAGTTTTGAATCTTTTTTGTGTCGCCAGTGTAGTTTTCGAGTAGCCTTTCCAAAGGCTAAAATGCAATCTTAAAGGCTGAAATTCAGTTTCTCGAAAACTACACTGGCGATTTTCAAATAACCTTCAAAAAAGATTCAAAACTTCATAACAGTGTATTTTCTGCAATAAAAAAGGTAGGTCACCGTGGTTATTTGTCCGCTAAGACGGCTTTCAGTTTTGTTGATGTAGGCCATATAGATGGTGACGTCGTGTTGTCATGGTAACATGAAGAGAAGCGATTTTGGGTTAAAATTACATTTTTTACGTAAGAGGAAACAATGGCTTGTGCAAAAAAATTGTTTTTTTAGATTCAAATAGCTTTTAGTTTAAAACATTGATATATATTGGAAACTGTAGGACAGGATTGACAAACGCAATGAATGCATGTTGTGCAATGCAAAATGAAGCACACATTAAGGCAATTAACTGATGTACGAAGTTAAAAACATCTTTAGTGGGGGGGCTCTGAAACATGTTGTTTATAAATTATGACAAAAACGATTTTTGATAAAGATAATAGTAACAACATATTTTCAGAGACAAATATATTAAAAGTCGAAAGCAGAACAGGTTTTGGTCCAGTTTCATTTTAGTTCGATTATATGTTTTTTTCAGAATTTGAAAGAAAGAGGTCAATATCTTGTCAGTCTCTTTACTGAACAACTACGGAAACAAAGTATGAAAATGAACAAATTAATTTGCCAGCAATATGAAGATATTGTAGATTACATAACGAGAATTTGCAAGGATACAAATAGCTTGGTAGAACAAATTCATTACATTGAAAATCTTCCGTTTGGCCCTTTGCTCTCATTGAATGTAAGTATTCAACAACATGTATAGTTCATTACCGTAAATTGTAGTTAAGATTTTGCCTCGTACGCAGGCGCTATGCATGTTGCTGCTATGGCTTGCGTGGCCTTTGCGTGGGTCGATGGCATTAATTTTAGACAAAAACATGTCTTTCAAAACAACAAATTTGTGGTCAAGCTCTGTGTTTTTGAAAAATGGACCTGTTTTATATAATTATTTTCAACACTACAGGTGCAAAAATTTGTACAACTTACTATATACATGTTATCATTGGGTTGCCTATGTAATTTGTTGTGGGATTTCATTTATTTATTTAAACCATACTAGAGCAGCATGTCTGAAATTGTGCCTGGTTGGCACGAACTAATCAACTTCAACAACATATAGTGTGATATTTTTTTTCACAACTGCTTTGCTATATGTGTGGCATATAATTGTAGCATGACAGCACCTTTAAGTCATGGGACAGTGTATGAAGTTTCTCTGTTAATTGTGTTGTAGAATCAGCTAGAAGAAGCGGCCAAACTGGTGTTGTTCGTAATGGATCACACGTTTATCTCGGAAGAACACATTAAGCTGAACGAAACAACATTTTTATGGTCCGAGAAGTTAACTCCTTTAATCAGCAGTAGGTAAGTTTTTAGCAAGGCCCAGTTTAACATATACGTCATAGGCCTACTATTAATAATCATATATTTAATAATGTGTCTTACTGCTATGTATTTTTTTAATTCATTTACCCACCCTATCTTTCCATATTTTTTGATATGTTTCGTTTAGTATGCACATAAAAAAGATGACGTCATAAACTACAATCTTGGCAAAAATTATTGTGGACATGCAGCGTGCGCGGAAAATAGAAATACCGGCCTTGCTCAATACATACGCCGATACGCGTGCAAAAATAGAAATTTTGAACTTCCCCCGACCCCCCCCCCCCGTTCAATGTTGAAAGCTTATAAATTGGTTAGGTGAAAGCATTTTGAAATGTCAAAATCAACATTGGAGGGACTGAAGCGGGGGAAGCAAAGACGCAGACATGTGTATATGTGAATAGTAATACTTTAGTGTCCACGGAATTTTGCCATGATTGTAGGTATACGATCCTACTCATCGGCATGTAAATTTTAAATCTGGTAGCACATTGACATGTCTACTACTTCATGTGATGGTTTTAGGCAGTTATGCTAATTAGTCTTACTCAGCTGATGATAATTCTTTCTAATTTCTTTCACTTATCAAACCAACCGAATTATTCGGGAACGTTACAGGCAGATTTTGAAACCGTATTGCGTATAGGTTTCAATTTTGTTTATTGTTATTTTGTTTATTCCGCTATGATTGTGTATCATCATTTAATTTAAAATTACTTTCTTTTAAGTGAGCTACGCGTTAGTCGTCAGCACGACTCAGCTGTGAATAAACTGACAGATTGGTTGGCAAGGTTTGAAGCTAAACTTGCAGCTATATATAAAGAAGCGAGAGATTTTTATTCCAGGGAAAGGATATCGGAAGCTAGGTCTCATCTTGAGAAGCTGGATGAGCTGAAAGCTGAAGTGGATGACCTGATAGCAGAGGTATACATGCAACTTTGTTATTTTTTGACAAACTGTCCAGAACGGCAGTTGGAGGAATAGACCTAATCGATACAGCCTGTTCATGTATGTTTTCACCCAAATACCTTATTATCTGTTTGATCGCGGTATCAAAACACGAGAAAACGATCAATCCGATTTGACAGAATGTGTTTTTGAAATGGTTTTCCAAGCAAAACGGATTAAATTATCTGGCACTTTTTTTAATGGATGATTATATCGTTTGTTTTGTTATTGTGGTTTCATTCGTTTCGCAGAAACAAAGAATTAACGTGGAAGAGAGATTGTTAGACGTCGAGACAGTAAGCTCATTTCCTCGTATTCAAGAGATCGTGGAGGCAAAAGAACCATATGACAAACTGTGGAGGTCCGTAGTGAAGTTTACAGAGAAGAAAGATGATTGGCTGAATGGATGTTTAGTGGACCTTAATGCTGAGGAGATCGAAGAAGAGGTAGGTTAAGGTTTTTGTAAAACACATGCATCCGGTAATGAGAAAACCATTTTAATATTTTAAAACACCTGATCTATAATTGTAAATTAAATTTTATATTCCAATTTGCCGTTATTAACTTCAGTAAGACATTTTAATTTGCTCGATCTGTATTACCTTTCCTCTTTCTTTCTGGAGGAATTAGTGGTACATTCACTTAATATTCCTATTCTCTAGTTCAAATATATACTAAAAATAAAAACAATATTTGACTATAGGTATCTGAACTATGGAAGATCAGTTATAAGCTTACAAAATCCTTCTTCGGCCAACAAGAGCTGATGGGTCCATTTCGTGTTGCAACATCACTTAAAGCAAAAGTAGAGAAGTTCAAGATTAGATTGCCGATCATCACTGCATTGTGTACTTCTGGTATGAAAGACAGGCATTGGGACATGATGAGCAAAAAGGTAAAATACTTCGAAAGCACACTAGTTGGTCCACTATATATGTAAAATTAAGGGAGTGGCTTGTGTGTGGGAATGAGAATCCACGCAGGGCCTTAACTGTTGTGAGAACATTTTACACCGAACTGATACAGCTATCCAGCGTAAATGAAGCTGATGTAGTATAGTTTGTATTACAGGAACCACTGAGTATTTTTTTAAATACTCGGTGGACACCGGGTGAACATTTTTAAATAGGTTCTGTCTACAGCGTACGCCAGGGGCGACTGTTGTAATGTAGAAATAACTCAAATAAGAAATATTAAACAACATTGAAAATTTACAGTTTTGGAATTACCTCGAATTACATCATGAATACGTGGGGTCATATTTGGTCGTTAGCTGACAAGATACTTATAAATATATATAGTACGTATAGGCATCTACTGTACTCACAGAGTATCTTACATAGCAGGATTTTGACACGTTTGTTCACCAACTTAATTGACCAAACATGCAACTTAATTGACCAAACATGCACTTTTAAGTGTGTTGTTATGTTTGGTTTTATATGGGTAGGCAGATTATTATTCAATTGGGGCTATGTTATACATCTATAATTTCTTGGTAAAACCAAGTGTTTGACATGGGCCAATTTGCTTCTGATGTTTCCTGAAAATTTATATAATGATAGTGAACTGTTTTATCCCTGGAAAGATAAAGCTACAAAGGTGACTTCGCTACAAGGGTAAGTCACCCTACAGGGAAGTCACCCTACAAAAGTGACTTCGTTACAAAGGGTGGCTTTTCCCTATCATTTATACTTAATTTCAGTGTAATCATGTGGATTTTTAATGAATATTTTAGGTGGGCTTTAATATAACTCCTAAACCTGAAACAACCCTGGATGAAATGCTTTCCTTCAACCTGGACCGCTACCTGGAGGAGCTGCAGGAAATTGCATCAAAAGCTAACAAAGAGTTTTCTTTAGAAAAGGTGCGTTGAAATTATATTGTGGTGAAATACTTGTAGTTTTCCTTGAACAAATATTTAGAGAGGAAATACTATAATGCTACTATTCCTTTTTGTACGTCAATTCGAACGAGTTTGAGTTAAAAATAACATCGATCACATCTAATTTTATCAAATCGTGTCAGCTTGACAACCATGCATAATGTCATGCAGGCACCTTAAAAATCCTGGAAAGTTTTTGAATTTGAAAAAATAAATCCATGCGTGCAAAGTCCTTAAATATTATTGCAGGTCCTTGAAAGTCCTGGAATTTCTTTCGTGCTGACAATACTTGAACACGCATTATTTAGACCATTGATTGTGAATAAATTATATTTTATATATACAGTAGTAGTACAAAGGCAAAAGCCATGGTATTTTCAAAAATTGTTTTAGGTTTAGGTTCTTGAATTTACTGGAAAACGTCCTTGAAAATCATGTGTGGGCCGTGGGGATGTTAATTTTCGCTTCTTAGGAAAGCCTTCTGTCCGTGCATGAACTCACACTTAAAACGAAGGTTTTTTTGAGAATTGGCTGCGATACTATATTGAGACCAAATATTCGCAATAAGACTCGCATGTGTTGTTTGTTTTGTATATATGTCTGCATGGCGTGCCTAAATACATCATGTTCCCTCAAACTCAAGACAATTAAGACTTAAATAAATTCTATATGCATATAAGAGTGGGAAGTAATAATTTTACTGTCTATACGAAATATTATGTTTGTTAATAGGCTTTAAAGAAAATGAAGACGGAATGGGAGAATGTACAGTTCACATTTGTGGCATACAGAGAAACTGGAATTAGTATTTTATCTGCGGTTGATGATATTCAGGTATTATTGTGCACCAGTCGATCGGTATGGTCGTTTATAGGAGAATCTACGTGGTTTTTTAAACTATAAGAGACTCAATTTTTATTAATTATTTGAACTTAAATTTAAACGAAAATGTAAAAGCTATGCTATGCTTTAATGATTGTATTGACCTCATTTAGAATTGTCTCCAAATATTATTCTGGTCTTTTTAATTGAAATTTAAATTCCTACTAATCTCTCCAAAGACAAACTACGCATACACCATACCTGTATATAGTCAAAATCTTTCATTTTTGATCACACCTACTGTATGCTGATAAATTATTTTAATAATTTCAGATCTTACTGGAAGATCAGATTGTGAAAACTCAGACCATGAAAGGCTCGCCATTCATTGGTCCTTTTGAGACAGAAATTGCTGAATGGGAAGATCAGCTGGTCAGTGATAGAGATTGCTGTAGATTGATTGAAAAATTATATATAAACATGCAATATAATTTTTGTTTATCATACCTTTGAGATATTTGCAAGAACATACTATGTTTTGCAGTTTTGACACTGAATGTCCTTAAAGTACTAAGGAGTGTTGGGAAAAATTCAAGGGTTGTTGAATTTACAGTAGCTTGTGCACGAGTTTGATTGTATTAATTTTTAAGGAAACTTTGCCTGACGTGTTCCAGTGAAGTTTACGATTCTTGGATATTATTATGTTTATATAGTGTATATAAAGTTTGCATGCAAAGGATGAATAGAGAGAACGATTGGTCTATGTCATTCTGTTTTGTTTTCCATACTTCCACGTTAAACCTCCACACATTGTGGACATTTTATTGTTTGTGTTTGGTTTGATGCACCCGTCTCTCTAATGATAATTGCCTTATACGTTTTATTTTTGTTTAGATCACTGTACAAGAAATTGTCGATTCTTGGTTAAAGGTATAACTTTGCCTTATTAAAACTGGGAAATAAAATGACGTAATTTGAAAAGGACTTGCATGCGAAAGTCTATAAAGCGTTGTTTGAAGGGAGGCAATGATATATTACAATGTAAGATCGCGTTTAGATATCCAAAATCTAGGAGAATATTTTCTTTCTGATTTCATATAGGTTCAAGCTGGATGGTTGTATTTGGAACCCATATTCTCTTCGGACGACATCCAGGCACAAATGCCAGAGGAAGGTGAAAAGTTTAGGACTGTTGACGGCTATTGGTAAGTACAATAAAGAAACAACTTGGAACAGTGTATATTTTTTACTTTAAACTTTAACTTCATTTATTGCGAAAGATTGCGCCTAGCGTAAAATTCGGTCGGTACTTGACATCCACAACTTTGTGCACGTATATCGCGAATTTTCAAGATATCCAGACGTGCACTTGAATAGATGAAGTGATAAACTTAAAAGTGGTAGTAAAGTGAAAGTTAAAACGATATATTATTAGCTGATTGTTATTATCCCCGAGCCAATGGAAGCGCCGTCCCGGGCGTAAACCCGGGGCGAGTGTACAAATTCCGCTCGCGGGCGCGTGGCTATATGGTTCAGTGGTTTATGGGTGGTCATCTCACTGATCTAAAAAATATGGCTGTTTGCCAGGAGTGGGATAAGCAAGATTTCAATTTGCAAAAACATATATTTGGAAAATCGTTTCATACAATGAGCTTTCAAGCGATTTTGCTTTGAAGAAATAAGAATTGATTTATAGTAGTGGAATATCATGATATATAGGGCACTTTAGTTGCTTTGAATTTTTAATTATTATGAATTTTGTTGTTTTAATTTTTTGCTGCGTAAAACATGCACTGCTTTTCTCTTCAATGTATTTATATAAGTCAGGCTAAATTACCCTGTTTAGTTTAAGAAAAAATTAAAATGTGAGGGAGAGCAAATTAATTTCATCACCGAACAAAAACTACATACTCAACAATTTGGACTTATTTTGTTTTTATTAGGATGAGAAATGGTTGCACGGGTAAATGGCTTGTTTTGGTTTAGGTGTAAATGCCGTAGTGCGTTTAAGGCACCTGGGAGCAAGGAAAATAGAAAATAAGTTATATATGATTACGTTTCCAAGAATATAGTGAAAATAAAACAGAAAATGCTCTAAAATGTTAAAAAGTATATAGTATATATACATTCATTTTAAAATTCTTCTGGTGACTTTCAAATTGCCTGATATGTAACAGTATTTTGTACCTACATATTGTGTTTTACAGGCGAATTATTATGCTGTCGTCTGTAAAATGTCCCAATGTTCTGCAAGTGACATCAAGAGATGGAATGCTTCAAAGATTGAAGGAATCAGAGGTATACGATTGCAAGTTGGCATATATATAAATGCATATAATCCACTCTTTTGGGACGATTTTTATCAGTATGAATTTTTAATTCAGTGATGTATACTTTCAATTACTCATATTTTCATCCATGAAATACCTGCGGACATACCTGATGCATTCCTATTATAAATTTGGTCCATTTCAAATAGGATATTGTGAATATTTATCTTGTGAGTATTTACAGAACAATGTTTACGCTGTAGAACATGTTGGAAAGTATACACAAAGGTTTAAATGACTATCTGGAAAAGAAAAGACTCTTCTTTCCGAGGTAAGTATAACATACTTTGCACACAAAAGTAATCATTATTAAATTATTTTACAAGTTTTTCCTGCACTCTTAAAAAAAGATGTGCTAAAGCAACACACTTTTATGTCCAGAAAACAACACACCTTAAGGTGTGTTACAGTAGCACGCCTTAAGGTGTGTTTTTTTTTTGCTTGTCCAGAGGAAAGGTGTGTTTTTTAGAGAAAAGGTGTGTTAGCACACCTTGGTGTGTTGCTTTAACACACCTTAAGGCTGCTGCTGAACACAGCTTAAGGTGTACTGCTTTAACACACCTTAAGGCGTGCTACAGTAACACACCTTACAGGCTAAACAGGGTACTATAGTAACACACCTTAAGGCGCGCTGCTGTAACACACCTTAAGGTGTGCTGCTGTAACACACCTGATTGATAACCTTACAAATCAATAAAGACATTTTTAAGTCAAAATAATTTATTACTCCTATATATAAGGTATACAGTATTATAACACTTAACATGTGTTTCTTATAGAATTAACTGAGAGCAAGGAATACAATTACAAGCCATGTCTTTGTTTTTCCAACACAGGTTTTTCTTTTTATCCAATGACGAACTCCTGGAGATTCTTTCCGAAACAAAAGATCCACTTCGTGTGCAGCCTCACCTGAAGAAATGTTTTGAAGGGATCGCCAAGTTAGACTTTACTCGGAATAAAGAAATAACGGCTATGGTGTCTGCTGAGGACGAAGTTGTTCATTTCTCCAACAATGTCATTCCAGCAAAAGCAGGAGGCCTTGTCGAAAAATGGCTTTCCGAGGTAAGTTGTGAATGAAAAGAAAAGGTTGGTGCATCCAGAAAGTATCTATAACCTTCGTGTGAAGGAGGAACAGTATCCCTAAATGTACCACGGGTCGTGAAGAAGTCCAATTGTAGGGAGATACAGGTAGATTTCCTGAAATCACCCTATTGTGGGAACAGGTGTTTTTGTCTTCATGCAGGCAGCTGTTTTGCTAAAAATCGGAATTTATTTTGTTGGTAAAATAAATGAGCAATGTTATAATTTTGTCACACCAATGTGACCGTGGAAATACAAAGCATCCATTGGTTTGTTTCCTTCATATATTTTTAATCAACGTAATTTTAAACATTCTCATCTTTTCAAGATTGAGAGTGTAATGAAGAATAGTTTAAAGAATGTTATGGCTGAAGCAGTTAGGTCTTATTCACAAACAAAGCGTATTGACTGGGTGTTGGATTGGCCTGGCCAGGTTATCTTGGCTGGTGACCTGATCTACTGGACGTCCGAAGTAACAGAGGTATGAGATCGATGTGAAACATCTCTGGGTTTTGAAATGTTAGGCAACATTCATTTTGAATTTATAGGAATATTACTCACTTAATAAACCCTTTTCGTAAAACTTACTCATTTAATAAACCCTTTTCGTAAATCTGGGTTGGGATATATTTTCTTTGGCTAAAGCAATACTGTAATTTTGACATTTTTTGTTGAATATCTTAATACTAGGCCATGGGCAAGAATGGAGGTCTCAAGGAGTATTACCAGAAGTGCTCAGGACAGATTGACGACATTGTACGGTTAGTTCGTGGAAAGTTGACAAAAATGGCGAGGACAACACTGGGGGCATTAATTGTTCTTGATGTTCATGGTAAATTTTTAGACACATTTGGTTAACACATTGACAAAACGTTGTCTTGATTATCTGGGTGCATGTGTGATGGACTGAATGGGTAGTTCGTGAATTCATCGTTTGCATGTATACTTCTCTTTTGCTGACTGAGGTATATAATCTGCGAGTGGCATTACAACAGTCATTCCTCACAGCTAGTTGTGTAAGTGCTGTAGCTTTATGAGGCGAATACTGATATTAACATAATTCGTAATATAAAGAATTTGCTTTGACAAGGTCGTGATGTAGTCGCAGATTTGGCACAGCATGATTTTCTGGACTCCAATGATTTCCAATGGATTAGGCAGTTAAGATATTACTGGCAGAACAACGATGTTATTGTTCGAATGATAACAACTGAAGTCCAGTATGCATATGAGTATCTTGGAAACACTGGACGCCTTGTAATTACACCCCTTACTGACAGATGTTACAGGTAATAACGAAGAGTTTCAAAGCATAGAGTTTTACAAAGTAGAGTACAGTTTTTTTAAGTTCTAATGTTCAAGTGGAAAAATATTTATCCAGAAATTGTAGGCCACTACAGTCTATGGTGCATTGCTCAAAGGCCGCGGAAGCATCTCGAAAGTAGGGGGGGGGGGGGCACTGACAAAAAGGACATTTTCCCATATAGTAACACACACACACCGCCCCTACATCTGGGAAGTAGTTCTTATGGTTTATGCATTGACTATTACAAGAAATATAGGTAGAATAGGGTGTATATTTATTATACAGTATCATAACGCGTATCAAAATTTCCCAAAAAACCTAATTCGACGTTCGTTTTTCTGAATAAGATATACCTGAGATATATCTTGCATAATTTGAACTCCAAAGCAACATTTAGCTATATCAATGTCTATATTGAGATCTTGTATTTCAGATTTGTATTATACCATAAGGCACATTTCATGACTCAAAAAGGGCACGCCTGCTTGAAAAAAGGGTACATTTTGGTGTTTTCAAAAAAGTGGGGGGAGAGGGGGGGGCACAGTGCCCCAGTACCCCCAGGTTCCGCGGCCTTTGGCATTGCTAATTAATTAAAATAGACATTTTCTAGAAATAAGTAATTGGCTACTAAAACGACCGTACAGATGATTGCACATCTTGAGTGGCGTAGCATGAATAGCGAGAGCGGTATTACCAAAACGTTCCCTTAAGAATTTTGGCCCTTTCAATTTACCTTTTAAATAATAAATACCCTTCATTCACATGAGATGCAATTGTGTTTTAGGACGTTAATGGGCGCGTTCCATCTTAACCTTGGGGGAGCACCTGAAGGCCCTGCAGGAACTGGAAAAACTGAGACATGTAAAGACCTTGCCAAAGCTGTGGCAAAACAGGTTGGTTATAAATTGCAATGAGCAATATTTGATAATGTCATTTTAGTTTTCAATTTACAGTAGTATATAATCTTGATTGGTGACACAAATGACATCTTCAGACACGTAGCTTCATCTTTTATTTTTTATTTTGCCCTAGTTTGGGATTCTTAAGGGATCTACGAACTGAGTCCAAATTGGGTCAATCAATTAATATATATTTTTTAATCTGTATTTTACTATTTTTTGTATAGTGTGTTGTCTTCAATTGCTCTGATGGGTTGGATTACAAGGCAATGGGGAAGTTCTTTAAAGGGTTGGCTCAGTCTGGTGCTTGGGCATGTTTTGACGAATTCAATCGCATTGAATTGGAGGTAATATTGGCTAGCATTTAGACATTCAGGGCTGGTTGCATGGGGGAAGAAAAAGAGTTACAGTAGCAGTTATTTATAATTAGTAACTAATTAAAGCAAGAGCAGTAGCAACAGCGCAAAGATGAGGAAAAGTAGAGCCAAAGCACGAGTATAGGTAAAGGCAAGACAGGAGAAAGAAAGAAAGAAAGAAAGAAAGAAAGAAAGAAAGAAAGAAAGAAAGAAAGAAAGAAAGAAAGAAAGAAAGAAAGAAAGAAAGAAAGAAAGAAAGAAAGAAAGAAAGAAAGAAAGAAAGAAAAGAAGGAACAGGATCATGGCCAGGATCTTTGAGCACGAGAATGACATTCATGATTGGTATGTCAACGAGAAAGACTATTGATGGGCACGACAACGTGGATGAGAATGATAATGAGCATGACAATCAGAATTAAATGACAATGAGTCATGACAATGACAATTACAATAATCTTGATCATGAGAATCAGGATGACAATGAGCATGAACATGAGAATGAGTATGACAATAAGAAAGACATTGACATAATCAAACATGAGCATAACCATGATGATGAGGATGGCAATAAAAATCAGCATGGCAGTGAGAATGGCAGTGGGCATGAGCATAACAGTGAGGATGTCAGTGAAGATGAGCATGGCAATGAGGATGACAACGAGGATGAGCATGAGCATGACGATGAGGGTAAACATGATTTCAGCATGACACTGAAGTTGAGCACGAGGATGAAGATTGAAGATGTAAATGAGGATAACAATGAGCTAGGATAACAATGACGATGGCAAAGAGCGTGAGGATGACATTGATGATTAGGATGACATTGGGCATGAACATGACAATGAGGATAAGAGTAAGGGTAACAATGAGGATGATAATGAGCATGATAATGAGGATATCAATGAACATCAGCATGACAGTAAGGATAGCAATGGACATGAGCACAACAGTGAAGATGACAGATGATGATTTAATGATTTAATGATTTAATGAGATTCGGCTAATATAACGCCAGGGAGTTCGCCAAAGGTTTCCCCAATTACGGCGACCCCATAATTAACTTCACGTTTACAATAATTTTAACAGTCGAAACGAACTAATTTAAGACAAAATACAATCGGTGCAAGAGACAACTAACAACAACTTAAAACACCATCAAGGGACCTAGCCCTTTTACATTTAACGCACACAGATTTCCAAGTTCGCGGATCGTCATAGTTATAAATATTAGATAGCGCGTATTTGTAGTACGTCTTTAGTACTGCCTTATTTGAAAGCTTGCAGGCCAATATCTGTATTACGGAGGTCACTATTTAAAACGTTCCACGTTTTACACGCTCTAATAAGATATGAAGACTGGTATGTTACAGTTTTAGCAAAGGGTATTACAAATCTAATCACGTTTTCGTTGGTTTCACGTCTGGTTATTCCTGATTCAGCTATTATTGGTAGAGCACTCTCATCAATATAGGTATAGTTGTTAATTAACTTATAGAGTAAAACCATGTCCAAATATTCATGCCAATAAGTTATTGGTAGTAACTCCAGTTGATGTAATCTGGTCATGTACGAGACATCGGTGGTAAACCCAAGATTTAAGATGTATTTCGCTGCTCTTCTCTGCACCTTCTCGATGTCTTCGATTAACTTAATGGATTGTGGGCACCATACTTGGGATGCATAACCAAAATTGCTGCGTACGAGTTGTAGATACAGAAGCCTCCTCGCGTTGATAACAGTCATCTCCGCGGTAGATCGTCTAATTAGCCCGAGCATTTGGTTGGCTTTCGACCGTACTTTATTTACTTGATCGTTCCATAATAGCTTAGGACTAATGGTGATACCCAGATCAACCTGTGCGTTGGAAACCAACAACTGATCATTGTCAAGCTTATAGGGATAAATTAAAGGCGATTTCTTTCTGGTTATTGACAACACTTTACACTTAGATTGGTTAAAGCGTAGTCGGTTTTCTATCGACCAACAAAGTAGGCCTTGAATATCATGATGTGACAATGAACATGATAAAGACTATGGGCATGACAAAAAAGAAGAACCTGATAATGAATATGAGCATGATAATGAGGATGAGCGCGAGGATGATAATTAGGATGAGGATGAACACGAGGATGAAGATGTTAATAAGGATGACAATGAGGATGACACTGAGGATGACAGTGAGCATGACATGTTGAGGATGGGGATGACAATGGGCATGAACATGACAATGACGATGGGAATGCGGGTCACAGTGAGAATGACAATGAGGATAGGCACGGGGGCATCGGTGGCGTAGTCGTCAGAGCAAGCGCCGTTCACATCTGAGTTCGTGGGTTCGATTATCGCTACGGACTCATGTGAAAAGAGTCAGTCAACGCTAAGCCGAAAGTCTTGTAAAAAAGTACAAATAACACAAAACATTGAATTTACTGCATGAGTCATGGTCGTGTTTTTATATACTTTTCAGGTTTTATCAGTGGTCGCCCAGCAGATTCAAACTATTCAAACGGCTGTGATGGATGGTGTAAGGACGTTTATTTTTGAAGGCACAGAGATTTCTATCGATCCAACATGTACGATATTCATCACAATGAACCCTGGTTATGCTGGAAGAGCAGAATTGCCAGACAATTTAAAGGTTAGACTCCAAATGTTTATACGTCATCAACTTTTAATTAGACATAGACTTGACGTAAGTCATTGTGATATTTTGTTTTCAGAGATTTCCTATAGATTTAGTTTAAACTGTTTAAGGTCTGTCTATATCTGTATGATTTACTATGAATAAAGCGAGCGGTAAATTTACATGATTTGATCCGTTTCTGTGCATAGTGAATATGTTGGATATGATTTTTTTATATCAGCATTATTATACCTCGTAACGTTGAATATATCTTTTATATCAAGATTATGACGTCATCCCGTCGAACACTATGTCAAAACTTCATGTTTAGCTATTGAATATGACGATTTCACAGTTGGTTAATCAGAAATCATGAATCTCTTAAATAAATATAATAATAACTAATATAATTGCACTTTCTGGTATAAGTGGAGCGTTATTCATGCTGTTCAAATAGGGCAGTGATAATAACGATGCTTCTGTGTTCTTTCTGAAAGTGTTAGAGGTACATGTGCCTTAATCCAAACACGTTTTCCCAAAAAATGATCAAATAGTTGCCAGTACTTAGAGAATGATTGATTGTTTACCCTTTGCATACTTTAAACCATTGATTCATAGTTTTGTAATTATAACGAATCTTTTTAAGGTCTTGTTCCGCACTGTTGCAATGATGGTTCCTGATTACGCATTAATTAGTGAAATCAGTCTTTATTCAATGGGTTTTGTTAACGCACGTCCTTTGGCTGCCAAGATTGTTGCTGTTTATCGACTGTGCTCTGAACAGGTATTTGCTTATTGTTAAAGAAAATAAGTGAAATGTTCAAAGATACCTAGCTACTTGATTTTAGTAAGACTGGGCCGTAATATAGGTCAATGTTTTAACCTCTGGCTGCAGGAAAACAAAGATGAGAATTAACTGAACTACTTATAGACGAAAATTACGCACTGATTATGGTGGATTCTCCTGGATAAATTTCACACGAAAAGATTTAAATGATTTAGAATTGCATTTATAGTTTTGGTTATATCCATCTACATATAACAACGCAAATTTGTTTGTTAGATAATAAATAATAATGTAACTTACACGGTAACTTTATAGTCATGCTTAAATGATTTCTGTAGCTATCTTCTCAACATCACTATGACTATGGCATGCGAGCTGTAAAGTCGGTGCTCACAGCCGCTGGCAACCTGAAGTTACGATACCCTGAAAATGACGAAGGCTTACTTATTTTACGTTCAATCAACGATGTGAACATGCCTAAGGTATGTAATCTACACTTTCACTGGTCTTTATTCGCAATAAAGACATGTTCCAGGAAATGGGTATACAGAATCTGAAAACATGTTTTGCTTGAGAAATTACCGACTAGCCTATACGCGAACATTATCAAAATGTAGATTTATCCAGAAAACGTTCACTTCATCACTTCTGCAGCTGTGGTTTTATTATTCGCGAAATCTGTGCAGTCCGTTATGCAATGACATTATGTACTGTTTAATAAACGAGCAGGAGTATTTTATTAGGTTTAAAGCCACGAGCGCGCAGCGCGAGTGGCTTTAGACATAATAAAACACGACCTGCGAGTTTATTAAACGGCTTCAAGCACGACTACAAATTCAATAGATATACTGCCTTATTAGTATTCTTTATATAAAGAATACTAATTAGGAGTGTTTTATCAGGTTTAAAGCCACTGCACGTGACATATTATGGTTCACATGATTTACCAATAAGCTTATGAATTATTAATGAGTGTTTGAAGGGTTTGTTATTTACCACAAACATAAGTCATCATATCATATTTTCGAGCGCTGAATTATTTGTTTATGCTTGCAAAATGCAGCGCATGCAATGCCCGATAAAATTATGACTTTGTGATGTTTGAAAAAACACAAGCTCGCGTGTGTTTTCCATAAACCTGAAATTTAAATCTTCGTTCCAACTTCCAAAAGTCGTTCTTCTGTGTGTTTTCCAAACCTAAAACCATGCTATCAAGTTTAGAAACAAATGAGTATAATTTAAGGGCCTTTCAAAAGCTTTGACTTGCTGCATTATCAAGTATTCGTGTACCTATTATTATATGAGTACTATTTTTCCCTTTTATAGTTTCTTTCGCAAGATTTGCCACTATTTGAAGGAATTGTCTCCGATCTCTTCCCTGGCTTGACGCTGCCCAAACCTGATCATGGCATTATGGAAAAAGCTATCAGAGAAAATATTGACAAAATGAAGCTGCAGCCTGTCCCGTGGTTCATCAACAAAATAATTCAGGTCCTAGTTATATCTATTATCCTTACTATTTAGTTTCTTCTTACAATTTCCTAAGAGAAACCATATAGATGGTAGTTATTGGTTTAATCAAGTTTTTTATACCTATTATAGTAATTCTTCAATTATAACTTATGAAACATGATAACAAAATGTATGTTAGGACCAAGTAGAAGCCTATAAAAACGGAAATGTAGCAACGAAACGTTAAACGAGCGAAGAAGGCGAAAAGTGGTTGATATAATTATTATGCAAAATGATTCAATATAACGTTTGAGAAGGATATCTAATAATAACGGGATATATTTTGCCATAGTCATTGAACATTCTAGTTGGTTAGATGTTTCTGTTTTCTCAGATAAGGATGTTACCATGAAGGAGACCTTTGTTAATTTGGTGTAAAGAACCTTCCACCTCAAAGAGGCAAATATCTATTCTAACTATATATATCGAAAGAACGAGAATAGGTATTTAACAATTATACCATGAGCTCGAGTCGTATATGAGTTGATAGCCGACGAGGTGCATGCTTAGCACCGAGTCGGCTATCAGCCATATACGACGAGAGCGAATGGTATAATTGTTTTATAATATAGTCTAATAGCCATTAACTGAAGCAATAATTAATTATCCTCTGTTACAATGTCTTGACAATTTTTTCGGCCAAAAACCGCTTTGCCTTGAAAATTTGAAATACTTTTGTTTTACAACTCGAAGACGAAGTGAAAGAAATGGTTTTAGAACCGGTATATCTCACAGAAAAGCTCAGATATATTATACAGATGTTTGGTATAGTATAGTAAGTGCTTGTTGACTGCAAATTCATTTGTCTTTCATTGCAAACTTTTCTGAACAATTTATATTCTCAATGAACATGTTTTTTTCGCCGTTGTTTCGGTATTAATTCTTTAAAAAAACTTGTATTTAAACTAATTTCTATGTAATAAGTGTATTTGAGAGTTTTTCCTTGTACTATTATCTCTCTCAAAGCAAATATTGTCCTTTTTTCTGCTTCGCAAAACTCGTGTAGTTTTTGGTCTTGTTTTTCGCTACTCGCCGTATATGAATATATATATATATATATATATATATATATATATATATATATATATATATATATATATATATATATATATATATATATATATATATATATATATATATATATATATATATATATATATATATTCTTATCTTCCTACTCATTCCAATGTATAGATACATGAAATGATGTTGGTACGTCATGGTTTTATGATTGTCGGTGATCCACTTGGCGGGAAGACATCAGCTTATAAAGTACTGGCAGCCGCATTATCAGACCTATCGAAAGAACGCGAATATGGCCAAGACTCAGTGAGTAACGTTTTTGAGGTAGTCATGTATTTACTTTTCATGGAAAAAGCATATAGGCCAGGATGAACGTAAACACGTTTACAAAAATAGCTGGAAATTAGTCACCACCAAAACCAGCTCACACACTTAAAAATACCGTATATTTCCACTATTCAGGAGCTTAATTTTTCCAGTGGTTGTGAATTGGGGGTTGTTAGAACGGGGAGAGGGGATAAATAGAGGCTGGAAGCTAAATAAGTTTTCATGTTCTTGTATAAAATATCAGTGAACGTTACATACAGTATACAGTATATTGTGTTCATTTTCCACAATAAGTTTACATCGAAAATGATTTAATTAATATAGGGCTAAATATGTTGATATTTATTTATTTAGTATTTCATTTGTGGAACTTTACCTTGATTTCAAAGTCCGAGTTCTTTTGAAAAGGCGATTCTTATATTAATAATCTACGCGGACTTTACAGTCCTGATGAAGTCCGAAGTAGAGTGTTTGAACTGACTTCTCAAACGTTGTAATTTACATAGTTTCGAAGTACTAGTAAGTTGTAACAAAGTAACAAGTATACGAAGTACGTACTTTGTATTACATGTAGTATACTACTCTGAAATTATGTAAATTCTGATTTCAAAGTAGAAAAATTTAGTGTTCTGTAGGACGTCTTCCTCTAGTTTCAAAACGCTAATTAAATATTGATTTTTTTTCTATTTGTTTCATGAATTTTCAGCTTGAGAATTTAATGATAAATGACTGCATTCTAAACAGAGGACTTTACCTTGACTTTATCGACTTTATCACCATATCATCATCCGTTATAATTCTGTTTAGAGAAACAGTTGAGAATGACCTTTCGTCATTTTACAACTGTAGTTTCTGCTTGTTTTAAAGTATACTTCAGATAAAGTAGAATTTAATTTTTGTTAGTAATATTGCATATAACACGTTCTACGATAGGGTTGCATATTCTATGTAGCTCAAATTTAGACAAATCTTACGATTTGATGAAGAATTTGCAATAAATGTTGAAAATTTTGGATAAAGGTTGCCAAAAATTGCAAATTTCACAACATCTCCGAGGTTGTGTTGCAATATTTTCAAATGTTCAATTCTTTTAACAAGAAATTTTAAACCAACAATTTAGACGAAAAGTCTATTTCAACTGCATTGCAGTATGGAAAAAGTCTAAACTTATTTTTTATGAGAATGATTATAATTTTCAATAATAATGTCCAGAAAGTTAATTGTTATGTCATGCACAATTCGGGCATGTCTTGTGTAATTAGCAAACTTTCATAAAACACTGGATATATTTGAGGAATAACATTCTAAAGTCCATGTCAGTGTCGACATTGATAAGTTTCTGTGACAAAAATCGAACAGTAATAAAATATTATCCAAACTTTTGTGGAAAGATACATTACTAAGAGGAAATAGGAGTTTTGTACCATAATCATTAACTTTATATGACCGAGGTATTACTTAGTTATCGTCAAAATTCATAGACGCAGAGATATTAGGTTGTTAAGTAAGCTCAGAGTATGTAGAAATGTATGGAATGGTGCGGCATGCATGCATTCAACAGAGCCAAGGTGGTGTTAGTGGCATCCAATCCAAAATGGCGTTGGTACAACACAAAAATGGTGTTGGATGCATCCAAAACCAAAATGGTGTTGGATGCATCCAAAACCAAAATGGTGTTTGACACATCCAAAACCAAAATGGTGTTGGACACATCCAAAACCAAAATGGTGTTGGACACATCCAAAACAAAAATGGTGTTGGACACATCGAAAACCAAAATGGTGTTGGACGCATCCAAACCAAAATGGTGTTTGGACACATCCAAAACCAAAATGGTGTTGGACATATCCAAAACCAAAATGGTGTTGGACACATCCAAAACCAAAATGATGTTGGACACATCCAAAACCAAAATGGTGTTAGACACATCCAAACCAAAATGGTGTTGGATGCATCCAAAACCAAAATGGTGTTGGACACATCCAAAACCAAAATGGTGTTGGACACATCCAAAACCAAAATGGTGTTGGCGCATCCAAAACCAAAATGGTGTTGGACACATCCAAAACCAAAATGGTGTTGGACACTTCCAAAACCAAAATGGTGTTGCACGCATCCAAAACCAAAATGGTGTTGGACACATCCAAAACCAAAATGGTGTTGGACGCATCCAAAACCATTTTCAAAAACATTAAAATGGGCTATAAATTGGCTAATTTGATTGCATTTGTCTAGGGATTGGTTTTGGATATATCCCAAACCATTTTCATTAGCGCTAAAATTGTAAATTGATTTGCATTTTGCTATAGGTTTGGTTTTGGACGCATCCAAAACCATTCTCAAGAGCTATAAATTGGCTAATTTGTTTGCACTTGTCTAGAGATTGGTTTTGGATGCATCCAAAACCATTTTCATTAGCGCTAAAATCGGTAAATTGGTTTCCATTTCCCTTAGCTGATGCTATCTTAACCAAAACTATTGTAAATTATAGCATATTCGTACCATAGATTCCTTGTATATTATTGCATTTATTGTATATAATGTATCTTAATTTTTAATGTGTTGTCAAGTCAAAGTGTATATTTACTGTTTAGTTTTTTTATGGTATATGTTAGGCGGTTTTCGGTATATTCAAAAACGAGTTCTGTTGAACGCATTCAAAACCACTTCTCCACTTACTGGGACCATTTGGACGAAATAGGAAATTACTGTGGAGCATTCATAAATGTTTTGTAATTGCATTGGATCTATCCCATTTGGACAAATTTGATCATTCCTCTCCAATAGTTGCAGAATTGATATTTTTCTGGACTATTTTTAATAAATTAGCTTGATTCTGCAAGACGGAAACAAATTCTGCCCGTTGTTTGACGATATGAGCTGATATGCAGGCATTTGTCTAAAAATTAGGCTAAATAGAATATGCAACCCTATCGTAGAACGTGTTATATTGAATTCCTTTTTTCTTCGCAGTTGCTTAATTTATTTTAAATATATTTCTTGCAATTTGGCGGTTTCACTTAATTCGTAGTTGGAGACTACGAATTAAGCGACTATACTATTGATCAATAAACTGAACTATTTATTAAGGTAATCTATCGTGTAATCAACCCAAAGGCAGTCACAATGGGACAGTTGTATGGACATTTTGATCCTGTGTCACATGAATGGACTGATGGTACGCATACTAGGTTTATACCAGATATAACCATGCTATCTACTAATCTACATGTTTATGCATGGGATTTGGTTTGTCTGTTTGCAGAGTAAAATATTATATAAAATGTGAAGTTTCATTTTGGCTGCAAGTATAGCACTGCATAAGAAAGCTTCGAATTGACAGGGATGCATCTACTTGAAAAATACAAGAACTTCGACGTTTCGGCTCTTCGTTGGGAAGTTAGTGACTAACTTAATAGAAAGCCCTTCATTGGAAAGTTAGTTAGTCACTAACTTCCCGACGAAGGGCCTTCATTGGAAACGTCGAAGTTCTCTTTGTATTTTTTCAGGTAGCTGCATCCCTATACAGGGTGTATCAAAATAAACGCAATTCATCTTTTGTGCTTAATAACTTTCGAAATACTATTCCTAGTTAAACGCTTTTAGGCTTACTTCAAAGCATGTTCTTTTTTCTTTCAAACAAACTATTATCCTTGTCTCTAATGCTAGTAATAATTGCACAGGAAAAGATTTAGTAAAACCTATCATTTTTAGTTCCTGTTTAATTATGCATGTTTACTATGTTATTGTTTAGTCGGTTTAAATGTTCGAATTTTCTTCTTTAAACTTTAATGTTGTCGTCACTACATCTGGAAAACCACGTAAGAACAAATTAAAAGTATTTTAAAAGAGACCAGTTTGTTTGAAAATCCTAAACGAAT